ACGTTATTTATTGTATTAACGTATGAAGTTTACAGACTGTTGTCAGTTTCAAACAATAGACTAAGGACCTGCTCGTATTATGCAGTCATTTCATGATTTTTTTTCAAACTTTTTTATACAAAACGTAAAGAAAGCTATGAGGTAGTAGTCTTTAGTTTTGTTTATATAAATATAAATTTGATCACATTATTATTTTTTAATAATGAAGTAATAATGGTAGTTTAGTTTTGCTGATATTCATATTTATTATAGGCCTACCTGACAAAGGATGTTTTCCCACGAATATTAAAATTGTAAGATACAATTGTTTCAAGAATCAGTATTGTGGGAAATTTATAGATCTTCAAGTTGTATAATGACATAATAATACACTGTTATAAAGTCAATTTACACCTATTATATTAGGATTTATAGACTTCTTGAGCCTGGTAACTTTGTTGCTAACTTAAACCTGCAAAAATATGCCGATATTTGTTGAATCTCGCCAACAATAAGTTTAGTATTTTTGTAGTTTTGTATTTCAGCTGCAAGATTATTACACTATAAATACTTTACCTATAAATAATCATTTCACATACAAGTTGTCCGGTAGAATGCTTAAAGAACCCTCATATAACAAACTGAATATTTATTATAGGGTCTGCAGTTGACCGGTTATAATAATCGAAATTTCGAAACTATTTCGAGAGGAAATCAATAAGCGCAAAATAAAGCCTCTTATCTGTATAATTTATTTTTTTAAATATCAGTATTTCTTATATCTGTTCATATATTATTTACAATAATATATATTTTAAACAATTAATATAATTTCATAATAAATGTCGTTTAGACACTTGTAAAATAAATTAGTATCTGTGGTGCCCGTAAATTTGATCAGTAGTTCTAAAACACCTCAGAGTTTATGCCAAGTAACACGAGGATCTGATAATCACTCTAGCTGGTCAGTACAGGTTTAGTTGATAATGATACTGTCATGGTATATTGTACGTATGTGGTGACGGCGTATTTGCCCAACATCGGCAAAATTTGCTGATGAAATTCAGATAAATTTGCTTAGTACAATAAGCTGGGTTACTTTTATCAAAATGATGTATAAATTATTCCTACATGATAATGTTACATATTTGATTTTTTTTTTACAAATACAAGGTTGCTATCACATCTATTCATTTATTTGATAGAGAACTATAAAATTACTTCCCACATTGAACATTTTAAAATAATCAACGAGTTACACAAGCAACTTAACATGAAGAAACTCTTGAAACTAAAGGACGTGTTCATCAGTGGCGGATTTAGGGGCTTATGGGCCTTAGGCTGAAGCTTCTGCGGGTCCCATATTGTATACAAGAAGTCAAAAGATGCTGTGAATAAAGTTTGGTTTGTTATGAATTTCGCTCAAAGCTACACGAGGGCTGCGCTAGCCGTCTTTAA